TACCCTGTAATTACTTTAGAACTTTACACCCTTATGAACATGTTTTTCTTAAACATGCAAATAGTACACTATATTTACTTTTTTGTTGTTTTTTTGGGTTTTTTCAGGTTTTTTTGTTTGTTTGTTTTTTTATTAAGGTATTACAAATGTGTCCTCATCCCCCCCATTAATCCCCAACCTCCCCCTCCCCCACCACACTCATGCTCCCATTCCCCCTGTTGTCCATGTCCATTGGTTTGGCTTATATACATGTATACAAGTCCTTCGGTTGATCTCTTCCCCTTACCCCCGCCCTCCCCTACTTTCCTTCTGGGGATTGATAGCCTAATCGCTGTTTCTCAGTCTTTGGGTCTGTCCCTTTTCATCAGTCTATGTTGTTCTCTATAATCCACAAATGAGTGAGATCATGTGGTATTTATCTTTCTCTGACTGGCTTATTTCATACTCTTTTTTTAATATTTTTTTATTGATACTTTACAGAGGAGAAGGGAGAGGGAGAGTTAGAAACATCGATGAGAGAGAAACATTGATCAGCTGCCTCCTGCACACCTCCTACTGGGGATGTGCCCGCAACCCAGGTACATGCCCTTGATCGGAATCGAACCTGGGACCTTTCAGTACACAGGCCAATGCTCTCCACTGAGCCAAACCGGTTAGGACTATTTACTCTTCTTGAATCTGCTCTTTTTCCTTCAATACATGTTTTTACCTAAGTCAATTCAAAACAACCTAGTAGTCCATTACATGGATATGCCAGATTTTAACCAATTTCCTACTGATGTCCATTTAAGTTAATTTTTAGTTCTCTAAGTAATTAAAACCTTTGACATATCATTGTTCTATTGGTTGCTAGAACAGTCAAATTTCTGGATCAAAGGACAACTGCATGTCTAAAACTTTAACTTTTCACTTAAGAGTTTTGTTATATACATATACAAGTTTTTAATCTTTATGAAGTTAGATTGATATATTTTTATTGCTTGAGTTTCCCATGATGCTTATTATTAAAATGGTCTTTTGTGCTTATTTTTTAAGTTTTATTGAACTATGATTCACACACCACAAAATTCAACCTCTTAAACTGAACAATTCAATGATTTTATATATTCAGAATTGTGCAACCATTATCACTGAATTCCAGAACATTTGCATTACCCCACAGAGAAACTTGTTAGTAGTCACTCCTCATTCTTCTCTCCCTAGCCCCTGGCAAACATTAATCTACTTTTTATCTCCACATATTTGCCTATTCTGGACGTGTCAAATCAATAGAATCCTACAATATGTGGCCTTTTTGTTTGGCATCTTTCACTTAGCACATTTTCAAGGTTCATCCACACTGAAACATACTGTATATCAGTATTCCATTTCTATTTATGACACAATAATCCACTGTGTAGATATACCAAATTCTATTTATCCATTCATCAGTTAATAAACATTTAGGTTGTTTCCACTTCTTGACTATTATGAATAATGATGCTATGAACATTGTGTACAAGTTTTTTATGTATTTACTTGTTCTTAATTAAATTTTTAATCCATCTATTCTAGAATGTTGACATAGGAATCTATTTCTTTCCTTCCAAAACAGTAGCTAATCTGAATACAGAACCCTAGATTTTCTTATCTTCCCTCAAGTCTTTTAAAAGTATACATGGTTTCTATCTCATCGTGTTTCTATCTTTATCCCCCCTCTTTCTAAAAAAATCAATAAAAACATACTTTTATAAGGTTATCTTGCTGCAGAAACCGGTTTGGCTCAGTGGATAGAGCCTCGACCTGCGGACTGAAAGGTCCCAGGTCCGATTCCAGTCAAGGACATGTACCTGGGTTATGGGCACATCCCCAGTAGATGTGCAGGAGGCAGCTGATCGATGTTTCTCTCTCATCGGTGTTTCTAACTCTCTCTCTCTCCCTTCCTCTCTGTAAAAAATCAATAAAATATATTAAAAACAAGTTATCTTGTACCAGCAAAACTCAGTATTAATTTTTTTCAGCAACTCACAGCTGTCATTGCAAAGCACCCAACTTGGTTTTGAAGAGAGTAACTTTCTCTTTACACTATTTCATTTAAACTAACGAATAAAATTATGAAGCAGTAAGTATACTGAAGTAAGTACAGCTGTTGATAAATATGTAAGCCCACTGCAATGAGCATAATGTACAGTTATATTAGAAAAGAGGCAGCATTCAGCATACCATGGGATTTAATTGTCCAATGCTATAGAAGTCAGTGAAGGGAGGAGCATCTACTATACTGACTAGCCTATATTGAGCCTTATTCTAATGGCTCTATTAATCCTGATTACTCAGGTTTAGTTCTTTTATTTGTTAATTCTATCTTTCATTGTGTTGGCTTTCTTCGGATGTTTGGTGATAGATTCTGGGCTCATGTCTACTTGGGTAACTTGAAGGGTGGAGGGAGGGCTATGATGGGCAGTAGATGTTGCTCTGCCTTGAACTATTTTCAATGTGGTGCAGATGCTAAGAACTCCAAAAACTGTTCTTCTGGAAATGACTGTTCCTCATTCTTGCCAAGTGTTACAGTATTGGAGCAGGGGGAATGTCCTCTCTCCCCATCAATCTCTGGTTAGAATATCAATGTCGTATGTCAAGGGGGCAAGGATTTCAGCTTGACAGCAGATATCCTCCTTGCTGCTGTGTGGCACACAGGGAGAGATACTTTTGCTGAGATTCCGCTACTCAGTCTTTTATCATAGGTCTCCTCTTTCCTCTCTACCTCCATCTTCCAGAAATGGGACTCACTTGAATGCATCGTTTTCCTACACTAATCTTCCTTCTGCTGCTGGGCTATGCTCTGGGCCTTCCCTCCACTTTTTGCCTTTTGGGAGTTTCTCAGTTTCTGATTTACCAAACTCTCCTCCTAGTTTTGGGTATGGAGAGACACATGTGTTTTTAACATACTTTTCATGCATTACAATACAGATCACTAATGTGAATAAATGTAAATTCTATAAAAGTTCCTACTTCCTCACATCATGCTACAGTTTTACTATATGCCATATTCAATGTATCTATTGTTTTTGGAAGTGCTACATCTATATGTATAAATTAATTTGGTATTTGTGGGTAAATATTAACTATTTTAGATTTGCGTATCATGGTTCTGCTAACCTCACGGTAGGGAAATTTGTCTTTCTTCTAGACAGTATAAATGACATAAATAGGTTTTTAAAGATTTGCTAGGACTCTGTACTTTGAAGAGGTTTTTTGCATGTGTGTCTGGGAACTTTTTATACAGATTTAATTGTTGGGCAAACAAAGTGTTCAGACCACCAAGAAGTAACTCTCCTAACTCCCCAGAAAAAGCCATTTATAAAAATTTGATATATCTGTCAAGATATGTCTTATACATATGTGGACACATATATACATATACTTACCCTACATATGTCCATATGTATCATTTAACAAAATGGCATCATTTTACAACTTGCTTTTTCACTTTATATAAACAGCTTTCAGTATCAAAATACAGGTAAAATTTATTCCTTAACAGCTTCATAGTATACTATTGCTTGGATGTGCCATAACTTTTACTTCCATAGAAACATTTGTTGTCTTAAGTAATGTCCCCATACAAATATATTTGTACTCTTTTAGATCTTGGATAAATTGCAATAAGGGGAATGGGTCAAAAATTGATACTACCATAGTGTCTTCCAAAAATGTTTATGCCAACTGATTTTGTGGGGTAGATTTTAACAATTAGGCTTTAAAACATGACACAGTAACTTGAGGCCATAAAGACAGATATATTTTACTATGAAAGAACTGACAATTTCTGTTAAGCAAATATATCATATACAAAGTCGAGGCTTTCATCTTTTGGGAGAGAAAAACTTACTCTTTTTTTTCTTTTTTTCTTTTTTTATAGAAATAGTGTGATGAAGCACTTATTTTATTTTATTGATTTTTTACAGAGAGGAAGGGAGAGGGACAGAGAGTTAGAAACATTGATGAGAGAGAAACATTGACCAGCTGCCTCCTGCACACCCCCCACTGGGGATGTGCCTGCAACCAAGGTACACGCCCCTGACCGGAATCGAACCTGGGACCCCTCAGTCCGCAGGCCGACGCGCTATCCACAAACCGGTTTGGCTAAACTCTTATAATATTTATAATTAAAATTTAACATCTTTAAAACTAGAATGATGATAAGGTCTATGAAGGTAAGAATCAGTGTATCCTACCCTCACAGAATATTTAATGCTACATTCTTAGAACTATCACACTGCCTGGTACATAAGAGCTTCTTGTAATTAAATAAATAAAATATAAATAACCCAATAGAAAAATAGGCAAAGAAAAGTTATATACAAACAAAAAATGGCCAACAAATATAGACAAAAATGTTCAAACTTTAAACTAAAAAACGCAAATAACGACGGGGTGGTAAACACACAATACAATATACAGATGATATGCCCCTGATGACGTACCCCAGGGGTATTACAGAATTGTACCCCTGAAGCCTATATAATTTTATTAACCAATGTCACCCCAAGAAATTCAATAGTATTAAAAAATGTTTGATAAAAAATAAAAACTGAACATTAAAGTGAAAACTCTCATGATCTGTAAGACTGACAAAGTTTAACAAGTGTAAACTGGTTCAGCTTTTTGAACGCTAATTTAACAATTCTCTTAAAATTTTAAATGTATTCTTCCAGCATCAATCTACTACTAGGAATTTCACTTACAGAAACACTTGCATAATTATAAAGAAGTAGTTTCACTGCACCATTGTTGATAGAAGAAAACAACTGTAAGCACCACAAGTGTCCATCAATCAAGAATTAAATAAACTATGGGACATCGACATAATAAAGCAATATAAAAAACAAATGTCGAGAAGAATGTCTAATTGTTTAAAGGGAAATCCATGTGTGGAAGGGAAAAACACCATCCTAGAAAGGATAATGGACAGCAAGTGTGGGCTGGAGGTTGAGGGAGAATAAAGGAAGAGTGCATACCAGAAAGGCAGATTGACAGCTGTTCATCATCCACTGGAGATGCTTTTTGACTGTTCTTCCCATCTCCCACTTGATTTTCTAGTGTGACTCCACTGCACATCAGAGGAGCCTCCAGCGGACTTTTACAGTAAGGGTGGTCCAGCAACTTAGAACTAAGAATGTTCTGTTTGAGAGATCCATCCTCATCCATCTGGTATGAGCTCTCTTTCTGAACAGTCTCTTCGGACATAGGCCCATCTACATTACTTACAGATTGATCTGCCCCAGACACTGACAATTTTACCGTGTCGTCATTGACAGTACTTGTCCGATTTTCCTGACCAGGAGTCATATTTTCTCTTTCGGTTTCTGAGATAAACACATTACTAGAATGATGCTCTGGTAAGGGGATGTCATGAATTAGCTCTGGAAACTCCCACTTAGGAGGGGAAGAGGGTGACTGGTCCCAGGTGTATGTGGCACTGCCATTCTGTTGGTCAGGGAATGCTTCAGCTAAACTAAGCTCCTTGCCCAAGAAAGGGCTTCCTTTAGTGCAGCCATCAGGCACATGAGAGTTCTTTTCCTTCATCACAGCACTGCTGTCCATACCTGGGAAGTGTGGTTGATGACGACAAGAAGGGTCTTTAAGTTCTGGGGAAGGGAATGGGCTACAACTGCCACCCTCACCGTTCTCCCTAAGGGTCTCTTGACGGTCCCCAGTGACCTGCACCCAGCTTTGCTGGGCTTTTTTTAGCTTGCAAACTTTGCTTTTTGTTCTGAAGTGCTGGGATCTGAGAATCCTGTACCGAAATCTAATCATGGATAATTTCTCATACATCATAAGAGGAGATACTTTTATTCTTCTATGTTGGTTAAGTTGAAACTTTTTTGGAGTCAGAGGTCCCCTATTCCTGTGGTGCTCCAGCCCTCGGTAGCAGCCATAACAAAAGCGCTTTCTCTTGTGGTTGCTCAAGGTGACCACAACTGTGCCACTCTCACCTGAACTTTGGCTCTCCCCATTGAACTTCATGGGAAAGTCAGAAGGTTGCAGCTCCGTCCTAGGTCTGTGACCAATAGCCTGATCTAAAACACTATTTGCTGGTAAGTCAGCAACTGCCTGCAAGAGATTTTTCTCTCCGTGGTACTCATGGTCAGAGTTCTTTGCTGACAGCAAATTCTCTGCTTGGAGTTTCAGGAGGGTCCTTGAGGAGGAAACTAAGTGTTTAGTGCTGTTTCTTTTCACTTTAGAGGACAGAGTACTAACATTTTCAGCAGCCACATTCGACTTTGTCTTAGCAAAAAGCGGTTCATCCTGGATCCAAGTTTGCTGGATTTGAAGGGCCTTCTCTCTGCACTGGAAATGCCTCAACTGCCTGCTCCAAGTAACTGGCCTTCCCAACTTTGCTTTCAGAATGCACAAGTGCTGATGAAAGTAGAACTTCTTAAAACCTCCAAACCCAGTATTCCATTTCTCAGAAAAGGCTAAGTGGATTCCTTTTCTCCATAGAATTTTCCTCTGTTTTTTCATCTTTCTGATGCATAATGAGATCTGGATGTAGCTGTAAAGAAGAAAAAGAAAAGTTACATTTCCACCCTAAAAATTAGGTCATAAAGAGCCCTGGCCAGGTAGCTTGGTTGGTTAGAGCATCATCCAGATACACCAATGCTGCAGGTTCAATCCCTAGTCAGGACACATACAAAGTCAGCCAATGACTGCATGAATATGTAGACTAACAAATTGATGATTCTCTCTGTCTTTCCCTTCTTCTCTCTGAAAAAATCAATAAAAAAAATTTAGGTCAAGCCCTGGCCAGTGTGGCTTGATTGGGTGTCATCCTGTGCACTGAAAGGTTGCTGGTTCGATTCCAGGTCATGGCACATGCCCAGGTTGTGAGCTTGATCCCAGGTAGAGGGCATGCAGGAGGCAGTTGATTGATGTGCTGCTCTCACATCAATGTTTTGCTCTCTCTCTACCTCTCCCTTCCTCTCTCTAAAAATCAGTAAAAAAGTCTTTAAATCAATATAGATCATAAAGATATATTCACAGGAATATATATTAGAAAACTGAATAAAGAGAGCGTATAAAGTTCAACTAGACCAGTGGTTCTCAAACTTCTGGCCCTTTAAATACAGTTCCTCATGTTGTTACCCAACCATAAAATTATTTTCGTTGCTACTTCCTAACTGTAATGTTGTTACTGTTATGAATCATAATGTAAATATCTGATATGCAGGATGGTCTTAGGTGACCCCTGTGAAAGGGTCGTTCAACAGCCAAAGGGGTCACGACTCACAAGTTGAGAACCGCTGAACTAGACTATCAGACATAATGAAATCCTATATGATCAAGGAATTCTAGGAATTCCCCACAGTGAAAGTTGAGAAGAAAGTCATGCATACTCTAACATGACTCTGTTTGCTATACCTGCCCACAATAAACTAAGTTTCGCCCTAACTGGTTTGGCTCAGTGGATGGAGCGTCGGCCTGCGGACTGAAGGGTCCTGGGTTCGATTCTGGTCAAGGGCATGTACCTTGGTTGCAAGCACATCCCCAGTGGGGTGTGCAGGAGGCAGCTGATCGATGTTTCTCTCTCATCGATGTTTTTAACTCTCTATCCCTCTCCCTTCCTCTCTGCAAAAAATCAATAAAATATATTTTAAAAATAAATAAATAAATAAATAAACTAAGTTTCAAGAATCATTTCCCAATATGCAGGGACTAAACACACGTTTACCTCAGTTCCCTCTCTAAATCCCACTAAGATGACAAACATGGGTTTTAAAAAGGTAAAAACTCTCAAGGACAAAGAAAATGAAAAACGAGATGAGAGCAATACTATTTTTGAAAGAAGAAAGCAGATGAATGAGTATTAACAGACATAGCAGGCCAAAAGAGCAGAAACTAAGCCAGCAATAGCGGAAGCCAAAAGGCAAGCTATAGGATCTCAGAAAGGCTTAAGAATTGAAAGCAATAATACCTATCAGAGTATGAGGGGAGTGGAAAAATGAAGAACTGGTTCAAAGTCTGAATAAAAAACAAACCCTAAGACCCCTTCTCCTACCTTTGCAGATAACCAATGTTTTACTTTCTGGGAAGTCCATTAAATTGAGGTCCACAAAATTGAGGGTTTACTGTACAGTAAATCCAAATTGAAATACAAACAATAATAAATGAACCTAACTGTATTACAAATAATCAACATAACCAGAATGAAAGGAATTAGCCAAAAGTAAATTTGGAAAACATTAACTTTGTAAGATGAGAAACAAAAGAACTATACAAATACTATACTTTAGTTATTGAATTTGTTTTTCACAGAGGGATGAAATTCTGAAACTGCTTTGTCATTATTTTAAAATTAATCAAGTAAGTACATATGTTGTAGGTAACTAGAGCTAGGTTTCACTGTTGGTGAAGTTACAAGTAATGAGAGAGACAAAGTGAGATAGCTTTGAATCCGTAGTGACAGACAGAAACCAGAGGTATTTGTATGAACTGATGGTGATACGCACACACACACACACAAAAATATCTATAAGTGTGCACACACATATATTTATTTCCTAGCTCTCTCTACTTAGAGAGTCTAGAAGCAATAGCATCTCAGTAGCAATGAGCACCTCTAGCACCCAGATCTTGGTTTCTAAATATTACTCTACACTTAAAAGAAATGGCTGATTCCAGAGCTGGGGTAGAGGAAGTATAAGATAAATCTGGATTATTATTGTAGTGCCAGAAAGTATACAAGTGCTCAAAAATTTATGAGATATGTCAAAAGGACACAGGAGCCAACTTTAAGAGACTCACAATGGCCAAAAAACACACACTGAGCAACTGAATATAAAATGATAGTAATGAGGCCTGGCTGGTGTGACTCAGTGGTTGAGCACTGACCGATGAACCAAGAGGTCTCAGTTTGATTCCCGGTCGGGGCACATGCCCAGGTTGCAGGCTCGATCCCCAGTATGGTGCGTGCAGGAGTCAGCCAATCAATGATTCTCTTTCATCATTGATGTTTCTATATCTCTCCCTCTCCCTCCCTCTCTGTAATCAATAAGTATCTATCTATCTACACTAATAAAAGAGAAACATGCAAATTGGTGTCACTCCGCTATGCCCACCAGCCAATCAGATGAGCATGCAAATTAACCCAACAAAGATGGTGGTTAATTTGCATACGCAGGCGCCGAGCAAAGACTAAAGACAATGTAGAAGGAAGCCAAGGACTGCAGAAGGGAGCGAAGCTGCAGAGAAGCAAGCAGGGCGGTGGAGGTGGGAGCAAAGCCCGCCTAGGTGGGTTTCGCTCCCTTCTCTGCTTCGCTCCAGCCGCAGCCCTATTCTTGCAGGAATCTTCCTGTGATGGGCTTCTAGTCCTATCTAATAAAAGAGAAACATGGTAATTAGCATACGACTGCTACCCTTCCCATTGGCTAATCAGGGTGATAGGCAAATTAACTGCCAGCCAAGATGGCGGCCGGCAGCCAGGCAGCTTGAAACTAACATGAGGCTTGCTTGCTTCAGTGACGGAGGACTCCAACGTTCCCCACCTGCCTTGCCGGCCTCTGAGCCTGAAGTTTGAACAGTGTAACAAATATAGAAGCTAAACAAAACCCCAGAAATCAGCTTTCAGCGAGCCGGGATCTCAGAGCTGGAGCTGATACAGAGTTTTGATTATAGAACCTAAACAAACCAGATCCCTACTTTCAGCAGCTCAGGCCTCAGAGCTGGGGCCAAGCCTCAGAGCTAAAGCTGGCCCAGAATTAAACACAAAGAAAAGAAAAAAGGAGTGGTTGGGAGCTTCAGTCGTCCTGAAAACAGCCCTCAGCCCCTCACCCAGACTGACCAGGCACCCTAGTGGGGACCCCCATCCTGAAGGCTGGGGGACCAGCTGCAAACAGCCATCATCCCCTCATCCAGGCTGGCCAGGCACCCCGGTGGGGACCCCCACCCTGATCCAGGACACCCTTCAGGGCAAAGCAGCCAGCCCCCACCCACGCACCGGGCCTCTACTGTATGTGTGTGTGTGTGTATGTGTGTGTGTGTGTATGTGTGTGTGTGTGTATGTGTGTGTGTGTGTATGTGTGTGTGTGTGTATGTGTGTGTGTGTGTATGTGTGTGTGTGTGTATGTGTGTGTGTGTGTATGTGTGTGTGTGTGTATGTGTGTGTGTGTGTATGTGTGTGTGTGTGTATGTGTGTGTGTGTGTATGTGTGTGTGTGTGTATGTGTGTGTGTGTGTATGTGTGTGTGTGTGTATGTGTGTGTGTGTGTATGTGTGTGTGTGTGTATGTGTGTGTGTGTGTATGTGTGTGTGTGTGTATGTGTGTGTGTGTGTATGTGTGTGTGTGTGTATGTGTGTGTGTGTGTATGTGTGTGTGTGTGTATGTGTGTGTGTGTGTATGTGTGTGTGTGTGTATGTGTGTGTGTGTGTATGTGTGTGTGTGTGTATGTGTGTGTGTGTGTATGTGTGTGTGTGTGTATTTTTTAAATGATAGTTATGGACTGTAACCCACAAATAAATATCCTTAGTCTACAGTGATATAAATAACTGACTAAATAAATAGGGGAAAGGGACAGCTCTTCCTTATATATTAATTTCAAATTAATAAATATAGTGATGGAAATGGAAATGATGGAAATAGAAAAGTTTGGTCACTGCTCTCAGAAATAACTGACTCAAGAATCACCAATGGAAGTTAAAATTAGAGGGAAAATGTACAATGAAAAACAAGCTATTTACATAGTCTCAAAGTATCTCCCACAAAAACGTTAAAATTACAAAGGGAAAAATTGTGACTTTCAATGGAAAAACCTGGCCTTAATCAGGCAACAATCAATTAACATCACTAATAATGAGACATATGGACATCATGTGCCTCCTGATGTGGCACAATGTCACTTATGTATGTATTCTTGTCAAAAATTAAACCCTCATGCACTGTTGGTGGGAATGCAGACTGGTGCAGCCACTGTGGATTACAGTATGGAGTTTCCTCAAAAAACTAAAAATGGAACTCCCATTTGACCTAGTGATCCCACTTCTAGGAATATACCCCGAGAAACTAGAAACACCAATTAGAAAGGATATATGTACCCCTATGTTCATAGCAGCACAATTCACCATAGCTAAGATTTGGAAACAGCCTAAGTGCCCATCAGTAGATGAGTGGATTAAAAAACTGTGGTACATCTACACAATGGAATACTATGCTGCTGTAAAAAAGAAGGAATTTTTAACATTTGCAACAGCATGGATGGAACTGGAGAGCATTATGCTAAGTGAAATAAACCAGTCTGAGAAGGATAAATACCACATGATCTCACTCATTTGTGGAATATAATGAACAACATAAACTGATGAAAAAGGACAGATCCAGAGACAGAGAGGCATCGATCGGACTGTCGGGCCTCGGAGGGAAGGTAGGGGAGGGTGGGAGTAGGGGAGAGATAAACCAAAGGACTTATATGCAAGCACTAGTAGTCTGGTGCACGAAATTTGTGCACTGGCGTTGGGGGGGGGCCTCAGTCTGGCCTTCACCCTCTCCAATCTGAGACCC